GCCCGTCGAAAGAGTTTTATGTTTCTACTGGCTTGGCTCCCACTGCATTTATGTGACAACAACTTTGTATTATTTTTTATTTTGTTGTGATGACCTTGAACTTGCAATCTGTTTTCCTTTTTATCGTTGCCAAGTTTGTGTTATTTATTTGCTTAGGGAGTTGTCGCGTATATTTTATTACTTTATGATGATGTGATGTGATGTGAGTGAAGTTCTTAGTATATTCCACAAGCACGTTAAGATGCAATATATTGAGATAGGTTTGAGTATTGAGCATCGGAACAAGGTTTTGCCATATACAAACTGAGCATTCATGATTCGCTCTTTGGAGACCAAATACAGTTAAATAGCTTATTTATGTACTAGTATTGTTTCCCACCCAACTTTATTCTCTTCAATAGCTCTCTTATCATGCGCATATGCAACATGGAAATTAGCATGCGAGAGCTAACGTATAATCCAAGGCTGGAATATCACTTATGATTAAAAGATGAATCGACAATTTTTGGTCCGGTTAAGAGAAAGCAAAGACTGAAAACAACTTAAAAAGGCTTAAGCGTGAAATTTGTAATCTGTCAAAATAAAATATCTTGAATATGTTTCTAATAATAGTTAAATTATCATAATTTAAGAGCTAAATAAATTCAAAACCTACCCACAAGATAACAAAACGGGTATATTTGTTATTAATTATTGTTTTTAAATGCACCTAATTCTATAGGATTTTAGATCATAATTCAATTAAGGAGCTTCTTACTAAGGCTTTGCGACTTCGAAAAGTTTATCCTCAAACTTGTCGCAATGAAAATATTTATTTGTGTTTTATACTCGAGCAGCAGCAGTTGTCATTTCATTTTCAAGTCATATATTTTCATATCCACACAGCTGTTTATTTGAATATACAGACGACAGCCAAAATACAATGAACTCTGAAAGTTATTAGCAAGCGTTGACAAAGGAAATAAGTTGGCATAACTTGCCTATTTATTGCTGACATTTACATATTATATAATTGCCATTAATTCATATATTGATAAACTCGCAAACATCTACCTTATATATATTTACTTGTATTGAATTCTTTCCGCGAATGTGTCGCTTATGAGCTTTCACTTTCAATTAACACCAGAAGCCGCCGATAATTTCAGTTTTTTTAGAACACAAAATTATTACTTGATTGTGCGAGTAAACTAGAAAGAGCAAGCGATTTTAATGCGTGTGAGAGAGCATGTTTAAAGGGATCCAAAAATTTTAAATCATAAAAGTATGATTCATGCAATACCGCGCTAGTTGTTCTAACTACGAAAACTTAACTTCCTAAAAATCTTCGAAAATATATTAAAGCGGTTTTGGAAAGCCACTGGAAGATTTTTGATAGTAGAAGGCGTGTCCTGTTATCTACTGAGGAACTATCAGCATTCTGATAGTTAACTGATATCCAAGTACTAATTTATATACTATATTTCCATATTTTATTTGATTTTTGCATCACTATGCTTTGAGTCTAAATTTAAACTCGAAACATTATTTTCGTATTTCTAATGAAACCAAAACTTATTTTTTTCATATTCATACTAATAAATAAATAAACAAATATCTACCATTTTGGTCGTCCACTTTTCGTCATTTTTTCCCTTAGAGACATTATTCCTTTCCCGAATTTAATTTTTTTTTTTTTTTTTTTTTTTTTTTTTTTTTTTTTTTTTTTTTTTTTTTTTTTTTTTTTTTTTTTTTGTCTAAATCAAGCATAAAATCTCACCTCTCTGGAGATATATGACTGAAACGACATCTACTGACAAAATACGAAAAAACTTTTTTGATTACCCAATATAATAATAAAATTCCATTTCTGCCTTTAACCTATTTTAACTGATGCGTCAATTGCTGGCTCGGTCGCACCTTTCAAGTACACAGCAAATAGCTGAAACAGATTTACGAGCGACTACTTTCAATATTGTTGGCTGTGTATGAATAACCAGACGTCAGTGATCATGTAACGTTTAATCGAATATTACAAGAGATTAATCATTTGAGAAGAAATAAGGTGAATTAAAAACCAAACACAAAATGACTAAATAAAGTTCTTAAACGATAAATGCAATCGAAGAGCTCTCATATAGAGAGGCATACATAAAGAGCGTGGTGTAAAAACAATGATACATAATTTAGAAATACTTAACGGGGTAATTAATCCGCTCATTATTCAACAGATGAAGCTATAGACAAAACGCCGCTAAATTCCTCATTCCAGTCTGCCTTCATTGGAAAAAATTTCAATTATTTACATGAGAATGAATTTCATGAAAGAAATGGAGAATTATGTACAGTATACTTTTTACTAACATTTACTATTTATCATTAAGGTTTCAAAATAAAACAGCTTTAAATATTAGTCAGAGAATAGAGGCTAAAAAGGAGAAGAAAACATGATAAAATAAATATCAGAATAGTGCAGAATACGAATAAAATTTTACTACATATATTCTTTCTGCCTCGCCAATAGCAAACATCATCTCCAAATAACTGTAAAATGTTTACGGGTCCCTCGTAAGTCGGACTGTTAAAGTGTGCTGGCTTTTAAGGACAAACAAATAAATTCAGCCATAAAATTCCGTGTAAAGTTGAAAATAAGTTGAATAAAGCTAGCCAGCAATCGTCAGCATTTCGAATTCGAAACAAAATGGCAATATCAAATTCAATGAATTGGAAAACGAAACTCGACGAAAGCCATAAAAGCGTGTATAAAGTGAGAACGAGCAAACTGAAATGCAAATGAAGCGCCACTTGCATCCATATTGACTGCAAGGCGTCAAACAGATGAGATGGGAGCGGCATGTAAAAACACGTGTATGGTTCCATGTAATTTTTGCTGAATTGCAAGCGAACAAAGGTATTGTGAAATAAAAAATTTTTCAGCAAGAAATAACAAGCGAATAGTCAGGTTGACTGGCATGATAAATGTAAATAAATTGAGGTTAAAAACATTATGGGAAATATATTTCAAAAATTCAGATAAAATGGTGTATTGAAATTTCCATGGAGCAAGAACGACTACTCGACTTGAGGCGAATAAAAGCGATGAAGCTTTTATTTCGCTATTTGGATATAAAAGTGTTTCCATTTCGGGAAAAGTTTGAAGTGAACTATAGGTTCAGAAAAAGGTGGGCTTAAAGCAGTCTACATTTCTGTACATACATAATTTGTGGCTTATAATAAGCTTATGCCTCAAGAGAAATAGGTACTTGATTGTGATTGGATAATGAAGGCTTACAAAACCAAGTTAGAATAATAAGCGATGAGATCCTAGCAGACATTCCAACACATTGTTTTTGTAAGGGCCTTTTTCCATGGTTTTTTATTTCCAATTTACTTACTTACATAAGTAAGTATGATTACGCAACCTTTTTAAGTGACCTTCTAGGTATCTTCTAAAAGGAATAGTAACTTGGCTGTTTTAGTTTTATGTATGGGACACAACTCTCTCTCAAGGACTGTACTAAGTAACTTGCGTTAGTCTTGGACAGTAAACTGCTATGAAAGCACAATGTGGAAGAAAAAGTAAAAAGTCTAGCAATGCTTTATATGCTCAGCACAGCCTGAGTAAGACCAATTCTGCTTTACGGTGCAGTAGCGTGGTAGACGGACTCCAAAATCCAACTACCGGATTGGAAATGGGAAGAGTTCGGAGGCTCGCTGCACTGTGCATAACCTGTCCTTTACGAACAACTCCAACGGCGGCTCTTGAACTGGTACTAAACCCGCCACCTCTTCGCTGAAAAATGCTCAGCAAAATTTGGCGGGACGACTACTGGCTGCAGGCGAATTTACTGGTAAACGAAGAAAAAAATAGTTGCCGTAAAGGTATGTTAGCTGCGCGCAACACTCTAAACACTGGCCGAGACTGCTAAAAATGGTATACGGCTAACAGCCAAAAATGTACGACAATCTGATCAGAAGCATGGTAAAGAAAGTCAAAATCCAATGCACCGAGAAAAGTCATATACAAAACGGTAGATCAGAAGTACACTTAAATTTCAATTGGCATTCAATAGAGGAGAATTTGTCCCCACGGTATGATACACTGGAATACGTATCGATAGTGAGGCTACAAAGTCTGTTGAAATTCGTGTCAAGCGCAGGCATCTTAAAATACAACTACTCCTCAAAGACCTAGTAACTGAACTCCATGTGGTTTAGCAATGAACTAAAACTGGTCTATATGTGGCTTATTGRCCTACCAGATTAATCAAACCTAACCTAACCTTTATACATATATGGTTTGCTGAAAGCCCATTAACTTTTCGAAATAAAACAACTGCTATTTCTCAGATTATTTGCCACCTGAAATTATTCATCCAAAACAAAATGCTTAATTAATCATTGGGTTGATATCAAAAATTAATTTAATCTGGTTACAATATATACAATAAATACTGGAGCCAATTCTATCGAAGAACTTTGATCTACGAAGCATGACAGCTTAATTTAACACTGTTCAGTTTGTGTTTTCCTTTATTGAATTAAATTGGATTACGTCAGATTTGTCAGCGTGTTTGAATGCTGCGTTAATTACACAACAGTAAGCTGTTAACTAATATATGAGCGTGCAAACTGACTGGCAATAAAAGTGGCTAGCGATTAACTAGAACAACAACCAAGAACTTATATATGTACATGTCTGTGTACACGTATCCTTCAATCCTAATCGCTTGGAAGATAAAATGTCTGGTTATCACTTTACAATAGGAACACATAAAGTAATGAGTAAATGAATGAGCTTCCGGGAATTCGCCATGAACATTTATGTAACACACACACTAGTAAAAATTTAATACGTGTGCACATATGTAGGTTATAGAATTAGTTATTTGACAAATTTAGTTAATGATATTTAACTGAAATGTCTGCTTATACAGTGTTTTATGTAAGAAAACTAGTCTGCAATAAATGTCAAATAAAAAATGCAAATAAAAAACACGTATTATCCACTTTTACAGGTCTCTTTTGCCGCTTCATCATACGGTACACCACTGGCGCTGATCTTCTTCTTGAGCATGTGCATGCTGGCACGCCTATGGAAGAGCGCGTTCGGTTGTAAGCCATCGGCAGAATCAAGGTAAGCCAAAGAGTCTTAAGCCCAAACAAGTGCCTAACTGAATGAAAAAATTCTTGGTCTATCTTCCACTTTCTCGCTTTCAATATTTAATTATATAAGTATATTCGCAGTTTTTTTAAGTGCGAAATGCAAATTTCTGAAGCATTATTGCATTTTGTCGAAGAAAAAAAAAAAAAGATTTTTGCTAGTAACTCAAGTGAGTTTACTGAAACGCATGAATAATATAGATCAGCTTTTATCAGTAATATTCTAAAAGCTTCTAGACGTTTTCCAAATTATATCTTTTTGAGATATCCAACTTAAAGGGACTCTATGACGTTTCTCTCTGTTAGCTAAAAGTGTTGTGTATTCTAATAAAGTGAAATACACTTGGTACTTGAGCTTGGGGAACCAGGTATAAATCTATATTTCACATAAGATCTCGCTAAAATGGCAAATCAATTATTCAATAAAAAATTTCACTTTTAGCTATTCTGAACAATTGTATCGGCTCAGTAAGCTTAGTGTCGCAGACACAGAAACCTTCAAACTGTCAAATAAATAAATGCAAGTCTATCGTTCTCTATAGGTTTTTAATAATTTTTAAATATTTTTCAGACTTCTAAGCTTGAAAGCAAAAACAGAAAATAGACCACTAACATAAGATATTCACTCATCAAGTACATATGTCTGTATATACCATGTACTTAGCTATCTTTTCTGATCCATTGCTTTCACTTGCTGCATTGGATATATTATGAATTTACTCACTCACTTCAGAAGAAAATTGAGTTTAAATTCTCTTTAAAATATTAAATAAAGTGCTTTCATAGTGAGGTAATTGCCTCAATATGAATATAAATACTTAAGGTCAATATCGAAGCTTCTTTTGTGTATTTGTTTTTGGAAACACAAATCAATTTGGTCCCTATGAATTTCACACCATATTTGTAAATAATCATATATTGGTTGTGAATTTTATTATTTGTGTGTGTTCACTTTCAATCAATTTATTTTATTTATTTTGCGGTTTTATTTTATTTAGAACCTCGAAGTATTTATGCTGATATTTATTGCTCATATCAATATCTAATCAAACATCTGAGTAAATTCTAGTATATTTGTAATTAATATTTGTTTTATTTATTTTAAACGTTTTCTCTTTACGTTCTATTGATTACAGTTTTGCAATATCATAAGCGTTATGTTGTAAAGTGGCAAATTAAATGCACAAATTTCCACAATTCATACAGTTACATGAATTTCAGTTAACATACTTTGTAGTAAATTGACCATGATAGATTAAATGAAAACTTTATTTACCATTCAGCGAGTAACATTTGTTCATAAAACAATTAAGCTTTAAGCCACAAAAGTAAATAAAATTTTGCAATTCGAATTGAACAAGGAGTGTTTAGAATATTCTTAATAACTTTCAAATATTTATAAAAATATGTACCATTACAATAAATAAATGGCTTCCGATTTTCATATCAGAATAATCTTTCGACTATTATTCATCAATTTTGCGTGCAAATACGCATAATAATAATATCTTCCACTTACCTTCGGTAATATCAGTTTGTTTGTTGGGTTTGTAGAAGCCCTTTCGATATTTTAGTTTTAGCTTTGACCTTTCGCACACACATATTCTGCATTTTAACTTTTGAAATACTTTAGCTTGAACTTCACTTATGTATGTACAAATTAAAGCAAATTTTATTCTATTTCACAACACACTTCTTTACTCATTTATTTTTTACTTTTCAGATATGTATGTTTAGTCAAATTACGTTATATTAAATAACTTTATATTTTTTTTTACATTTTCTCAAGCTTACACCATACTTTTGTAAATACTTTTCACAATTTTATTTTACACAATACCCATTTTCAATCATTCTTTTCACATAGTAACATTTTTCTCTTACACGACAATTTTGCTCGTCTCCACAACTTGTTTACATTCAATTGACACGAATAACGGCAGCCTTCGCTGTTTAGCAAATCATGTGTGTGGTGTGTGCTGTTGTTTTTTGCATGCTGAAGTGAGCAAATGAGAGCACTGAGAAGTGTGAAATCGAACTCGTGCTTCTGCAATAATAGAGTGGCCACAATAAAAATAATATATTGTATTAAAAATATATTATTGGTAAATTAAATAAATTGCAAATAGTTAATTTGGCTGAATAAGAGTACATACACATGTATAAACATACATACATCTTTTCATTTGGCACCAAAAAAACAATAGTTGTTAGGATTTCATAATTTAATAGAAAATCAATTCTGGCCACTTTCATATGCTTCTTCGAATTTCGGCAAAACTCGCAATCATTAGAGTCCACAAATACTTCGGTAATGCATATATTTCAGGCGCAGACGGAACTCCAGTTGTTGTTGGATATAGCAGTGTCATTAATTTATTCTGAATAACTTTTGAAAAAATTTACTGATTTCAAAGATTTTGGTGTMAGTCAAAAGTTAAAAAGGTCAGAATGGAACAAGTGTGCAGCACATACTTTCACAACGCATACGAGCGTGAAAGTTTAACATTAAATAAATGAGCAAAAAACATAAATTGTGCTGAATCTAAGGAAGCTGTAGTGCTACTATATAAGAGCGAACATATATGGAGCATATTTCTAGAGAACAGTTAAACGTTCGTCTTTCCATATTGCTGTAAAATATAAAATTATTAAATATTACCACAAAGTTGATATATCCTATTTTCTCTCAAAATATTTCCTCCATCTTTAGTTTGTTAGTAGTGATTAATAGCTTGCTGTTAAGCTGCAGACTTGTTCTTTCATTTATTGGCCACGTGCACAAAATCGACTCCATTTTAACGAAGTTATTCCTCTAATTGCGCCCGCAGTTTTTACTTCCGGTTATCCTGCGCCTGTCGCTAAAGCAGTTCATTTCATCTGCGCCTTTGAGGTAGGCAATGTGAAAATCAATTTTCTCGCGGTGGCTACCTTCTGGGCAGCTTTGGGTGCCTGGTAGAAATCGTCCATTTGTGCTTCAGCGAAAACAAACCTGCTCGTGACTGGGGTGACCAGATTTCATTTTTACGTAGCTTCAGAATAATGCTGTTAAAGTTTTGTTATTACTTTTAAACTTTGGGTTTTAATGCCAGAATTTACAATAATATTCATATTAATATTAAAATATATCTATAAATATAAAAAAACTTACCACTAAATAAATCGGTTTTAGGTGAAAAAAAAATTTTAAGGTTTGTATTACTTTATTTCAATATTTTTTGCAGTGAACAGAATTTTCTTTTCACCATACTTACTAATTTAGTAGAGATTATTCACTTTACTTTTGTGTTGATTAATGTTAATTACATTATATATGTATGTGCAAAATTTCATTTTTTTATTTTATTTTATTTTTTTTTTTTTTTGTTTTGTCTGCTGTAAATTAGAATATGATGCCTTATGGATTAGTTCCGCATGTCACATGATGCCTCTCATCATAATTCAATGACAAAGTTATGGCTGTTAAGTGCTGTTGCGTTTCTCCGCCTGTGTTGGCCTGCGTAGAGCATAATTATGCTTGTTTTGTTAGGATTCCAGGTGAAGGGTTCACATGTTTTAGAAGCTAAAAGAAAAAAAAAACAATTAATTATAGATTAATTTGTTATATATTTATTATATTTCCTATCCTTTAACTACTAATGGCAAAAGAAATATTGAAATATTTTATATTCTATGCTTATAATATTACCTAGATATATTGAAAATACTTCTCTGCAAATTCCTACACGCTCTAACCCAATCTAAAAAAGTAAAATCTTTTTTTTTTTTTTTTTTTTTTTTTTTTTTTTTTTTTTTTTTTTTTTTTTTTTGCGAAATTCTTCATGTCAAATAAGTATACTTCTTCAAAACTAACTAACTGCAAGCATTCGATATTCTGTTGCAAACATATTCTATGAGCACACTCAACTTACTAAGGACATTTGCACAGACATCACTTGAAAGCAAAGGATATAAGCATAGAGATATATATGTACATGTGTACATATATTGATTGGCTCGAATTTAGTTTTTTGGTAGCTTCCTTACATCTTTCGCACATTTTTCGGAATATTTTCGTGCTGATGGCGCAATTCACAGAAAATCTGTTAATAACCCATAGACTATCTGCCAGCAGGAAAACAAATAAATGAATATATATTGAAGCTAGCTTTTTGTTAAAAATTATTGCAACTTTTTATAAAAAAATATTTTTTTTGGTTTTTGAAGTTGACGTATTTGCCAATACCAAGGATTGTTATAGTTAGTAGTTTTTTTACATAATGTAAACTAGAGTTTATTTTTAATAACTTTAGACCACTGTTATTACTTACTGTTGTTACTTTTGCGTGTCTGTCTCACTAGCTACTATATCCAGCGTCCGATTCATCTTTTTTAAAGTGCCTGTGGCCACCCGTGGAAATCAGCATTCCGGCCATCAGCCGAATCAAGATAAGCAGCACAGCAGATTATTTGAGTTGTATGCTTCAATTATGCACAAACATGTATGAGTGATAATTTATCACAAGCAACACATATCTTTGATTAACTTTATTTATGTTTTACATATGTACTTGGAAATCAGAACTGGTGAGGATAATTTATGTAACCACCAACTAGTTAATTGTACTAGCAACCTGGAAAATGGTTTGAACTGTTAATTTTTAGCCATTTATAAGATCCCTGAAAGTTATGGTCAAATGAAAGGAAAGTTGCTTAAGATAGTCTTTAGAAAATTTTGAAGCAATAAATTTAAAACTTTTTATTATGTATATCCAAATTGTAGCAAAAGGTTGTGGAACAACTAATCTGACAACTGACTGACACGAATATTAAAGCTCTGAATTAATAGGCAACTACACACGCCACAATTTGTGTACAATATATTTGCTCCAAGTACGTCGCCGACACTCCCATGGGTGTTACCAAAAAATTGCTTTATTGGCCCAAAGCGAACTAACGAAATTCCAACGCATTTCCTGGAAAAGCTGTAAATTAGTCACGTTTACCGGACAATGTGTGCACACTAAAGCTGACATTTTTTTGTTGTTCTTTCTATAGATGCAAGCAGCCCGAGAGGCAGGTCAGCTAGTAAAGGTTGCACCTATTACGCATGGATAATGAAAACCAAACAGTAACATGTTAACGAAGGCACGGTGGGTTCTAAAACATCATCGAAAAGGGGAAAAAAAATAACTCCTTGCTTGGGTTTTGTTCAGGTTTGTCGTACTTAAGCTAAAATGATTCCGAATTCAAAATGTTTTTTATTATTTTAGTTGTAATGTGATAAATTTAATGAGTTTAACGACACTATGTGGCGTAGAAGACTATGATATTAATTACATTTTGGATTTTTATGTTTGGTTCGAAATTCATTATTCTCAAAACTATATCCGTAACTTATTAAAATGGAATCCACTTTTATGTTAACTGCATTCGAATGATGTTCGTTCAAAAATCTTAAGATATTTTAATTGGAGTATTCAAGTTCTACTATAGAAAGTTCAGTAACATGATGAATCAGAATACTACACTTCACTACTTGAACATATATGTTGTTCACTAGTAATATTTCAATACTTCTTTAATTAGCTATCTTTTTATTCGGTGAGACAGGTGGCACTTCTCAGCTTTGCCAAGACAGTAGATTCACACAGTCAACCAGAGAATATTATTTACAACGTAAGCGAATTAAAAAATTCAATATAAGTATTTGAACTAAGTAAACACGACAAATCTAATATATTGCATTTAAAATAAAGAAAATAATTTTGTTTAAAATGTAAGAAGAAAATTTTAATTCATTAGACGCAAATTTATCGAATTTTTATAAAATTTTAAAAGGTTTTTTATTTTCTTTAATAATAATCAATAATTGCATAGAATTTGCTAATCAGTAGCCTTTAAACCTGATGAAACATATTTCAAAATATAGGGTCGTTCTTTAAGTAATTTCGTTTGATGACAACAGCTGATTTTATGGAATTTTTTCAGACCTAATTTTCTTTTTAACCCTTTAAATATTTGTATATCAAATATCTTAATGTTGCGAAACATTTTCTTAAGGTCAAAAACAGTATGCTCGGCACATGTTGGTATTTTACCATCAAAAGAGTAAAAACGCAGTTCAAGCAAGGGGAATAATGTGCGATGTGTAAGAGGAAGATGTGTTGACCGTTGGTTTACAAAATTTCGTAACGGCACTTTCGATCTTGGGGATGCACATAATGGTAGGAATCTTGAAGCGGATGTGGATAAAATAAAGTTGTTGGTCGATTAAGGTCGTTAAATAACCACTCTGGATATTGCTGAAAGACTTGTCTCATTCGACCGTTCATATACACCTGTAAAGTATAGAAATAATTTCGGAGCTTAACATATGGGTCTTCTTGTTCTTACAGAACGGACATTGCTAGGCAGAAAACCATCTCAAACCAACTTGTAGGCTGAAAAGAAATACGAACATGATCCGGATCGGTTGATTTGAATTGAATCTATACACTATAAAGGTAGCAGTCCTACAATATAGCTGCTTGGCAGCTGATCTTTTGAGAAAAGCAGCCAACGAGCTTCGGAAAATTGGCTTTCAGCAGGCTCTATAAAAGAATCGCAAGCGCGATTGCTCATAGGTTCTCCTTACTTACTATATCATATCTTTTTTTCATTATTACAGAAACAACACCAACTTTGTCCTTTTATTTAGTGATAAATATACATTTATGTTTAGTATTCCTGTAGAAAGATAATATGGTACATACAATAACTTCATTCATATTTTAAAAATAATTTCATGTGTAAAATACTTCGTGATGATTTACAAAATATCACATCGCTCAAATACTAATATTTCGTTTCCCAACTGTGACAAGGATGCATAAGAACAATAACCACAAGCATTTACATTTCGCCTAATTCAATACATATTTATTCTGAAGTGTCATTTAGCTCTCATAACTGATATCACAATTTATTTACATACATCAACCATTGACATTGCCACGGTCTCTTAAAATCACAGCTGAAATATGATACTGATTCAATAAATTACGAAAGCCAATGAAAAAGCCATCCTGTTGGGTAAATGGATTTGAACGAAAAATATACGTATGATTTCTTTTTATTCTCTTCTTGGTCGTAGGATATGAAATAAATTTATAAACTGACAGATATTCTTCGAGGATATGTTTGTGTTTGAATTTTTTGTAAATTCCCTTTTTGACGTGAATGACTTTTCTTGTTAAATTTTAACTCTAAATGTGCGTGCGTCGGAATATTTTTTCAAATTTTGCATTTTCTTATTACCAAACAAAAATGTTGATAGTAAAAATAAGTTTTACTAAGTTTACCTTGTTTTTTGTTGTTTATATATTAAATGGAGAAAACTTTGTAGACTCCATATTAAGCTTGCAGCGAAGTCTGCAACACCGAGAAGGAAACTTATCAGACTCTATAAAACATATACATAAATTTTCGGATTACAAAACCTTGTCGCCGATTGATGATATGGCACGTATATAGCAACATATCAATCGTCGGAGACGAATAGAGAAATACGATTCTCTAAAATTTTAGCAACTAACACATAATTTCGGCTTATATTGAAAAAAAAAAATGAATATTGTCCTAAGTATTGCCATAAGATGTGTGTTTGCCAACCATTTTATATGAAAAGAAAAAGAAAATTCATGTAAAGGCCACCCATTCATATAAAGTATCACCATTTCATAGCTTTCCCTTACTTTCGCTGTCATTTGCAGAGGCATGAAATTGCAAAAATCAAAAACCTTTTTCCCACACTTTTTCATTTAAGTGGAGAAGAAACACGTTTGAACAGATTTGAAAGTGTTTGAGGTGTGATAAAATGCAAAATGGGAAATCTAACAAAGCAGAGTAGAGCCAACACCTCGGCCTTGGTATCACTGTCAGGAAAAATAAACTAGAAAAGCTGTTCTTTAAAGATATGATACTTATAATGGTATGAAGGGTATTTAGATATTTATGTGACAGTGAGTAACAGCAAGTGGCTAAAGACTTTTATAAAATAAAGAGCTCGTTCGCTATCTGCTAGAATTTAACTGCAAGATGTAAATGAAAGCGGATGAGTATTTAAAAGTTTAATACTTCACATCTACATACTCTAAGTTTACTAATTTTATAAGAAATAATTGGCTAATACTTAAGTTTTGTTTTAACCGTATAGTACTTATTTATACAATCAAGTCTTGCGGTATTTTTTTCTTGAATTTTCAATTGTCCATAACATTTTTTTGATGTCTCTTTCGACCAATTCAGCGATTTTATCGCAATTTTCGACGACAGACCTTCCGGAGCGTGGCGCATCTTCGCCCACATCGACACCAGAACGAAAACGTTGAAACCATCGTTGTGCGCTGGAAATGGAAACTGTATCGGGTCCATAAACTGCACAAACTTTATTGGCGGATTGAGATGCATTTTTGCCTTTATCGTAGTAGTACTGTAAAATATGCCGTATTTTCTCTTTATTTTGCTCCATGTTTGCGACGCTATACCTCACGAACGACTTAAAAGGAACGACAATCAATCAAACACGTGTTAGCGCGTGAAATGAGCTTTCCAAAAAGGTGTAGCATGACCCGATGCCACGAATAAAACTAGAACTACGCACTCTCAGCGCCAACTAGCGAAAATACCGCAAGACTTTTTTGACAACCTAATATAAAACATTTGTATAAAACACGTATCATTTCGGTTTATACACCATTTCACATTGACTAGCTCATTTGCGTTTTCACTTGTATCTACCAAATTGAGTGTTTGCAACGTTCGAGAGTTTGAAGTAAATAGCTAAAGCACACAAAGCACCTGAATAGTAAATATTTGTTATGAGCATGCCGGAAAAGGTAACGCAAAACATTTTCTTTGTTTACAGTCTATAGGCTGCAGCTTAATTTATATTTTTTCATTTAAGTGTTCATATTATGTTAAAGAAGTTCTCCGAAAGAATTTTATTTTCCAAAACATTTAGTATTTCTTCTTTTAGCGTTGAACCATAAACTTGTTGCCAATGTTGTACTGAAAAATTCTGAAAACTTCCAGGAACATATTCACTCAAATATACATATTTGAAGTTCTTCACTGTATGAAATATAGAATATTTGAACTGTAAACCCTCTGAAAGTCTTACTGTGCTTCTCATGATGATTTTGTGGTGCATCTCTAAAACAAACTTTTGTAATTTTATTTTTCAAAGAGTAAAAAAAAAAATATTTCAAATTTCACTGCGATAATTTCTTTACTACATCATTCTAATAAAAATGAAAATTAAACCAATTTTACAATTTTTCGTTCCCTTTTACAGATCAACAATTATTTCGGAGTTGCTGACCTTTCACAAGCAAAAAAGCGTAAGAGGAATACCCCAGTCAAGTGACCCGAATAAATACAAACGAAGTAGCAAATAAACTGTTAAATATTGGGAAGAAGGATGCTGGATAAAGCACAGAAAAACGCCCAACTGGAAAAAGGCCTCGGCACACATTCACAATATGTATCAGTTGTCGTTTATGAAGGCAAAACGGAATCGAAAATTTAACTCATACGACTGCATAGAATATGTAATATCAAGGACAAACTTCCGCAGGAAGTAAAAAGAACCAATCGCAATCGCAGTCACAGATTTATTTAATCTTAATAAAATTATTTAATCTTAATAAAATAATAATAAAAAAATAAATAAATAATCTTAATCTATTTAGCGGAATGATACAACATCGTACTGCAAGGTCAACCCTCACCCACGTGAATTGTTGAACTTATTATTCTTCGGAGCCAACTGAATGTGTGCGATAGCTGCTTGTATGATCACTATGACAGATTGGATTACTCATACTGGTACGACTGATAAAATTTGGTAGAATCTTATTTTATTTGAAAATGTTTTAATGCAGCTCTTATTACTATTATGTTAATAGACATTGAGGCATTATTATAGATTAATATTTATATTTCTGCCGAAGTTCAATTTTTTTGTGTCGTATATCATCATATCAGTATGAATGTTTACAACAAACTTAGAGATGTTTTTCACTTCATTATACTCTTAGCCACTAAGTGGTCATTAGGACTTAAAGAATGTTTTCACAGGCCTCATCGTTGTTCCAGCAGCTTCAAAGCAGTCTTGTGTTGTATCCTTGGACAGTACTATAGCGATTTATGAACCATTGTAGTTTTAATTTTTTTAAAGTAACTTTCTTTAGTGCATCATGAAGGCAGTAGTTAATAGAACAGAAAATTTAGCAAGGCACGCTGCAAAATGTATTATAAGCTAGACTGTTTAGATTAAAAACTTTACAAACATATTTCCACAGTATTGTAATTCCCAACAATTTTATTTTCTTTATCTTATTCAAAGGTATCACCACTCTTTGTGGTCATAAATTTTAGGCCTAAAGGATTTATTTTGAGACTGTCAGAATCTGAGCGCATTACAGCTTTCAGCCCTTTAATATAATATTTATGGCAGACATTTTATGAGTTACGTGTTATACAAGCGAAGCAATAAAATATGCAAAAGGATTATTAAGTGTGAATTTGCATAATAAAGGCGAAATAAATGCTTGTATTCGTCGTTACAATAAGTGGTGTGTACACAGTTTGCCTACTTGCCATATCGAAGTCTTTTTGTTAGAAGTATCAACCATTATTTAGAACAAAAAGTCATGTATAACAACTATCGGTTTGGAAAAGTTCTAGTTGTCATAATACACCTTCTGACGTACTAATTACAGCGGCTTTTATTGGAGCTCTACCTCCACTAAACGCAACTTCAGATCAAAGCCTCAAAACCCAATTTTCAACATAACCACCTGAGATGAAACTAACTTTCGTCTGACTAATGTGAGTTATTATTAATTTTCGCTGATCTTGTTGCTTTTGAGTGAGGTGTATCAATATGAAATCACCGGCCATTAAAATGCCCTTTAACCAGCACACTAAAAATATTGCACAGCAGTCGTTGGCTTAAGCTTTCATTCAATCAGTCGGGTATAATCATATATTCACCTACGTATATCAGAAGAGTAATTTGAGTTCAACAATATTTGATGTGATTTATTTACAATATCACAATATRATKTGYTTGTCACAGAAATTGCGTTTTCAATCCAATTTTGGCACCAACGCTGGTTAATTATTATGATGATTGTAACTCAGATGGAATTGGCTTTTCCTAGTTGGTTTACGATTTATTGCTGTAGCTTGAGTCTCAGGTAATTAAGTTGAAAATAGGCTTTTGTGGATTTCAGCCAGCTTTTCGTGAAGCAAAAAATTCAACATGARCGTGTTTTTCTGCTGAGTAATTTTTGTTCAATGTACGTTCGTACTTTCGCATACAAGTTGTACAATTATTAATTGAATAGGCGACTTGATTGTCTGACACATACAACATGTACTACTTTCTACAATTTTTCTAAATCTGTAAGTCGTGACCGTCCAATATTCCCATGAATCCATTCAGATTAAAATCATGAAAACGAGCAATGAAAGCAGACCGAAAAAATGTTGTTCATATGCCAGAGTGAACAATATTCATTCAAAGTTCAATTCACTTAAAACGCACTTCATCACAAATGCTTCGAATTTTCATTTGAAATGATTTGAATGCMTACTTTTGCAGATGGATTCAAAGTACTGACAATACGGAAAAGGAATTCTAACATTTTACGGGAAGAAAAATTTAAAAGTAATAATATTTACTTTATCTTACTTATCCTCACTAACTAACACAGCGGAAAATCAAAATATCATCTACGGATATGTATAAGCATGACCAATTAACAGCACGTTAAAAAAATTATTCATACAATCGAGACGTAAAATTCTGAAACAAATCAGTAGTTGTTGAGGCTTTCTGCACAAATTGTTATAGGGGATTATTTTCAGTACGGATTATTTCAAACGGATAAGTTTATATAGAAAGATAGAGTTATTCGCTTATTTAACCATTATTTATTTTAAAATAATTCAACTAACTTAACTAAATTCGATATTTTACAATTTTAGTTAACGAATTGTGGTCACTCGAAATTTGTTGTATGCCTCGAAGCTAAAATACTTTTAGACAAACCCATAGAAAACAGACATTCTGCTTGATATGAATGGAACTTTAAAGCAAATCAAGATTTGAACAACCATTAAACACATGCACATGCATAGATATTCAATATGTAAGTCCACAAATTTATTTACAAAAGGTTGGAACTGCATACTTGAAAATCTAATTAGAAAGGTATTAAATTTTACTTATATAGACAYCTGCGTAAGCATGTATGTGGTTCGCTTTTGCGTCAATAGAATGGAATAAGCATAAAAATAAATATAACTATTTCACGAATTCTTCTTATTTACTTGGAGAGACTCATATTGTGGAAATTTCAGAAAGTAGTATTTAATCTGTGCTCTTAAAAATACTTTTAAAATTATTTTATATTTGTTAGACACACAGTATAGAGGAAAAATTTGTTAAAATTTTTACAAACAACAAACACAATCTGGATCTCTTATTTGTGTAAAATAATTTTCGCAAATTTTATCTAAAAGTCAGCTGTAAATGTATAGTCATGAAGGAAACTATTTTTTTATTGATACAGACTAAATGAATTATATAAAATTACTAATTAATGTACATATTGTTAATATCAGAATAAATGTGAGAATTATATCACAAAAAATAAAATTTAATTTTTCTAATCAAGCATTGACGTTTCTGCGTTATTTACAGAATACACTTGAAGACATAACTAAGTTGGCTGTCTAAATCGTGGCTCACAAGACATACTGCATCATATAGTAGACATTGGTGTTTTATATTATATTTATAATACGAAATCTTAATCAGTATATATATGTAACAAATAGCAAAGGAATGACAAGGTATTGCGGTCACGTTACAATGAAATTGATTGTGATATTTAAATGCTGGTTCAACTTGTGAAGTTTGGCATGACTTAAAATTTATATTTAATAAAACAAAATTGAAAACCTCAAATTTTGTGTTGATT